GATCTGGATGCTAAACAATTCAACCATTATCTGAAGTTAGCACTGACTTACAGTAGAGAAAGGACTTCCCTGAAAAAGATTCGGCACAAAAGCTTCTTCATGAAATTTCTAGAAGAATAAAAAGAAAGGGCAAGAAAGACGAGTTAAGAAGAGGAGGAAAAATCCAGGCAAGATTAAAAAATTTGCAAGATTTTTCACTTGCTTCTTTGCAAATTGAATATGGTGAAGATGCAGAAGGCTTACACGATACTGACCGGTAACATAGTTGGCTATACCATCAGACATATTTGGACAATTGACGGTCTAAACAAAGAATTTGTTGGCTTTATCAACAGTTTTGTAAATCCATTTTATGAGATTTACTATCTCAGTGGCGATAAAGTTGATGAAGACTGTCAATTGATATCTATGAAGTTGGCGCTGACTATGTTATGCGGGACTTATTTCTGGAAGCAGCCCGGCATTGATGATGATTGTTGAGACAACTGAAGAAAAAAAAAAAACAAAAAAAAAACGGCCCTTTTTCAGGGCCACAAAAATATTCTGAAAAAGTCTTATCACTGTTTTGCATGGTAGCATTTTTTCCTATAATATTGAGGTACTGAATTATGCTTTAAGTAAAATAAATGTACAATTACCTATGTAATAAAAATTTAAGTACTTTAAAATTTAATAAATAAAATAACTTTAACAATTCATAAACATCAAAATATAATAAAGAATAAAAATGAAAAAATAGGATCTTAAAAATATAAATATTAAAATAGTGTTATCTCTATCATTTGTGATAACAGATAATTATTTTTTATTAATTATAACTCAGTTATTAAATTAAAAAGTGAATTATTGAGATAATATTAATAAAATTATATTTCAGTTGTAAAAATGTAATAACTGAGTGAGATAGAAGTTATAATAATTAATAATTTTTATTAATTATTATTAATAATTTAAGAAATATTAATATAATTTGTAGTTAATATAATTAATAATATTACATCTCAGTTATTTAATTAAAATGTAATAACTGATAATATAGTAATTAATAAAATTTATCATAATTATCTACCATTATAGAAGTAACTTTTTAAAAATTTTTATAGTATTTTATTTTAAAATTATTATAAGAAAGCATCTTCAAAATTACAGTTTAAAAAAATCAGTAATATATTAGATAATTGCTTAAATTATTTTAAATTTTAAACATTACTTAGTAGTAAAAAAAAAAAACAATAGAAACCATTCTTACTTAGAATTCGAAAAAATTGTATCAGCTCTGGTCCACCATACTAAACCTGTCAACACATGCGGCCATCAAATTATCGATGGAGTCTCGAGAAAATTCAAGACTCCGTGAAGGAATACTTGTTCAGAAAATTTCATGGTGTAAGTAAGTGATGTTTGTTTTAAAACAGATTAATTAAACTTTAAATTTGCTAATTTTACGAAAGTAACGTTTCAGAAATCTATATGTTATTTTAGGCGGGTTTTAAAACAAAAAATATTTTTGTTTACATCTCTCTAAAAAAATTAAACATGGCCGTTCGATTATTTTTTTCAGAAGAATCGATTTAAAATCATTATAATTTCTAGTTGAAATACAGTACAGTGTTTTGTTTTTCTGGAATTAGAAAATTTAATCCTTTAGCTTTCAATTGAAACTGTGGGAAAGCTTCAAAAACGATTTTTTATTTATGAAAAATACACTTAAACCTTGGGTATACCGAATTTTTTGGAGGTACCTACTTTAATGTAACTGCTTTATTCTGAAGTCCGCAACACGTCTTGCCGCTTCGCTTTATGCTGACCATATATTCGGCCTTCTCATAGTAGTTAGTTAGTCATATCTCTTCGCTATCAATTGCTTCAACGTTTTCATTCCGAGCTCGCCATCACTGACCTCTGTTAAACCTATACCAAACTGACTGCAACCATTAAACCGATAGGATTATGTCCATTTCGCTCATGTCAATTCAAGGCATCTGCAAAGCTCTCAAATAAATAGCTGCGTAACGCAGCTGAACAAAGAAAATGAATTCTATCCACGCAAATTTGGTGGGTATTTAATAGATTTTTTAAAAACATTTCATTGTCGAAGTCTTAGACACTTATTAAATCAAAACAAAAAAAATCAGAAATTACCCACTTTCATGATCAACACTTTTATGTACATACAAAACAATTAGAAATGGACAAAGTTCGACAATTATTTTAAGACAGTTTTATGTTTATGCATTCTTTTTAAAGATACACATATTTCAGTAAATGCTCTGTTTATAATAAACAGTATTAAGCAACATTTACCGGCCTGAATGTCCGAGAAATTTTCACAGAAAATATTCGTCCTCCGACAGGATTCGAACCTGTATCCTATACGGAACCGTCATTTAGCTTGACGTGCCTTTACCTATTTGGCCACGAAGACTGCCTGACGGAGCCCAAACCTCTCCAGGCTGGATTGAATGAAGGATTTTTCTTCTTCTAGTCCGGTTGCCACCAATAGCTATAGAACCCGGTCTGTCCTATTACTTATCAAGAGGGAGAAGGGATGGATTCGTACCTTGTTTAATGGTATTAACTCATAAGTGAATGCAATGAATTCGACTAGAAATTGAACTCGTATCTCAGATTCCTCAATAGCCGTAGTCCATTACTCCACCGACATATAAAATGAATGCAAGAACAACAATGCTTATATTGTCCTTTTTTCATTCAATATATATCTCGATGATATCGTGATAGCATTCTGTTAGGTTCGGAAGGAGTTGAAGTTGTGAAGCAATTATCCAAATGACAAAGACGAGAATACAAAAAAAAAATAGCAGGTCTAATCTGCAAATGTGATAGAAAAAAAGACTGGTAATTTCGAATATAGTTGCGTTTGAAACGTAATGAACAAAACAACCAAGATGGAGAAACGAGATTATAATACATGCAAAATAACAAGGCCTGTTTAAATTATTTACATTCAGATAATTGCCTTTTTCGTGGTTGTTGTTATTATTACAAGGTTTCAGCTTTGATGCTCTCTTACATTCTTCAAGTGCTTATCGATCATTGTAACATTCAGGGAATTTCGAAGTGAAAACCGTCTATTGTACGGGTGTAGATTGTACTCTTTGCTATGTCCATGTCTGAGTATAACTTGTCTTGTTCTTATTTAATACTGTTCAGTTATTGCTCGTCAGGATTTCAAATGGGGAAATTTTGGAAATTCATGACAGCAGTGCGCACAGGTATTTTTCTACAAACTAATTTTTACACTAATTTCAGGCTCATAATTGTTACATACAAAATGTAGTCCTGCTTGTAGTAAGGAGTTTTTGTCCACATTCTATGCGTAATACCAGGCAAAAATACTGTGTCAATGGTGGTTAATTAGACAGTGAATTTTAACCATTAATTTTATGTTAATATTGGATTGTTCAATAACAAAACATATTGCATCCTGCAATCTCCTATGATAAATGACAATATATATATATATGTGTGTGTGTGTATATATATATATATATATATATATATATATATATATATATATATATATATATATATATATATATATATATATATGTGTATATATATATATATATATGTATATATATATGTGTGTATATATATATATATATATATATATATATATATATATATATATATATATATATATATATATATATATATATATATATATATATATATATATATATATATGTATAATATATATATATATATATATATATATATATATATATATATATATATACATATATATATATATATATATATATACATACATATATATATATATATACACACATATATATATATATATATACATACATACATATATATATGTGTATGTGTGTGTGTGTGTGTGTGTGTATGTATGTATGTATATGTGTTATGAAATGGACAAATTCCGACAGATATTTTTAAGACATTTATTTATGTTTATGCGTTGTTTTCATTTAAATATTATTTTTACTTAAATATTTGTATCTATAAAAAAAGAACGTCTAAACATAAAAATGCCTTTAAATATATATATATATATATATATATATATATATATATTTAATAGTTAAGCGGTCGTTATACATTTATATCTTTCTTAGATTTTCCCTTGAAAATTCTGTTCATTTATGTTTTCCTTTGCTTATTTTTAGTTAAATGTTAAGACATTTGCAGTATCTTTTCATCTATACATTAATATACGGCTTGATGACTAGTTAATGTCACTTACATAAAATTAAATTTTTCTTTTATGTTCAATCATTCTTTAAATCAAATAAAGTACACTTAAACAGTCACATATATTAGGATAACCGTACGACTGATTAGTGAGTTCGATCCTCACTGGGTAACCCATACTTTCAGCCTTGTTCCATATCTAAACTAAGCATGAAAAATCACTATTAGGATTATGGAAATGTTCCCCCACTATTTTTCCAGAAGAATACTAAACATAGAAGTAGAAATTGAATTCAACAAAAATAAAAATGAAGTTTGTGTTTAAAATGTATTAAAATACACACACACTAACACACATACACGCGTGTGTATGGGCAAAATCCTTCTTTAATACATGCTTTATTTAAGAAGAATGAAAAGTTATATCTGTTTATTTATTTATTTATTGTATTACGATTTTCTTTTATGCGTATTATTGTCTCTGGAATTAATGAAAACTTCTCCAAATTTTTGTGTGATCCGAGCGTTTTCAATGTATTAGGTTGTACAGAGTATTGCATTTTCAACTTGTTTCACGTGGTCACTCCATCAGGACTAAATTGTTTTGTCAGCAGCTAGAACTCGTGCACGAAAAACCTAAAGATGCTGATTGGTCAATCGTGAAATTTTTCTTAATGGCTGTATATACGCACATATAATTTAATATATATCAAATTCTTAAGTTTATAGTAATGTAGACAATGTACAAGTCTTTAAATAAAAACGATAAAGGTATGCCGCCTACGACAAATATTGGGTGGGTGGGGGAGTTGCGGCCACATCACGTTGAAGCACAGGTTCCCTTATGTTCACCGAAGTTAAGCAACGTCGTGTCTGAAAGTACTTAAATTGTTGAGTGCTAGGGAGTACCAGGTGCTGTGAGGTCAGATGTGCGGGTGGTGTAAGGGATAATGGCTCAGAATTGTTAATCAGAGATCCGAGTTCGAAATCCCATTGTTTTTTTTTTGTATTCACTTACGCGCAAATACATTTGGGAAATGTATTAATCTACCTGTTCTCCTCCAGGTATGCGTTATTTAGTAAAACCTATATCCCTAAATCATTTTCAAAAAAGAAATGGAGTACAAAATATTTAAATTTCGTCATTAACGGATTAACTGCCAATTATTTTAATGCGCATATTTGGCCCAGACATGTGTCTTAGGAGTTTATTTTTTCCTTATTTTTAAATTCTGTTTTAACCATTGTTGCTTTTATAGAAACAAGAACATCAAATATATATGTGTATAAAACATCAAAAAATAATATTGATCAGAAACAATAAAAAGTCCTTTTGAAAAGAATATTTACGAAATAAAGTGTCTTCTTACGGCTAATAATAAAAACTTAAAGGGCGAATGTGGTAAAATATACATATGTAAATGCAATGTATGTAAACAATTCAATGTAAAGAGTAAAGTTGCCTTTGATTGTAACTCACTGGACACTTGAGTAGAGTTAGCTTTGATTGGAATTAACATGTCACTAGAGTAGAGTTGACTTTGATTGGAACTCACTGGACAATAGTGTAGAGTTAGCTTTGATTGGAACTCAAGGGACACTGGAGTAGAGTTGGCTTTGATTGGAAATCACTGGGTACTAGATTAGATTTCGCTTTGATTGGAACTTACTGGATACAAGTGTAGAGTTGGCTTTGATTGGAACTCACTGGACAATTGAGTCAAGTTGGCTTTGATTAGAAGTCACTGGACACTAGTGTAGAGTTGGCCTTGATTGGAACGCACTGGATACTAGAGCAGAGTTTGCTTTGTTTGGAAAGAACTAGACACTAGTGTAGAGTTAGCTTTGATTGGAATTCACATGTCACTAGAGTAGAGTTGGCTCAGATTGGAACTCACTGGACACTATATTAAATTTGGCTTTGATTGAAACGCACTGGACACTAGAGTAGTGTTGGCTTTGATTGTAATTCACATGTCACTAGAGTAGAGTTGACTTTGATTGGGACTCACTGGACACTAGAGTTGGCTTTGATACATGGTCTGAAGTCAACTCATCGTTCGCTCTCGAACGGATGTTGTAAGAATCATGAAAATTGAATGAGCTTTTACTGAAGACTTACGAATCACCGACTGATAAAAATTCCATTCCACTAAAGAAATCTTGAAGAGAATTCAATTGGGCACTTCTTTAATGTGCCGATTTTTTGGATATTCCTGTGTTGATCAATCCTATTAATGACTTCAGAATTAAATCTGATAGTTGAAGAAACGGAACAGAAATTTCTGAAAATAACCCCAAATTTACGAATGTGTTAATGGAATTCAGTGCATGAATCTCTTTGCTAATGTCATACATTTGGTTAATTTTTCAACCTTTAGAACTACTTCGGGCAAAAGTAATGATTTTTGCTGATCAAATTATATATGAATATGAAGTGGGAGGGGCGATATAATCCGGAAAATCATCATTAAATTTATGTAAGCAAAAGAAACGATTAAAACGTTCAAATTTGAAACTTTTAAAATTCAAATTTATGTTTTAATTTTTGGATATGTGTATAGAAATATAGTGGAGACAATTTTATTTTGTTTCTTTAAGTTTGAATGTTTATTAATTTACTATCATGATTATTATGATCGCACACACAAAAACAATATACATATATACATATATATATATATATATAATAAAAACGTTAAACACTAATATTATGATATATTATAATGTATGTGTATATTTACCACTAATATATATATATATATATATATATATATATATATATATATATATATATATATAGAGAGAGAGAGAGAGAGAGATAATATAATATTATGGTAAATATACATACATTTTGCAGCATATATAAATATATATACATAGGTGCATACACATACATATATATTTTATGAATAAAAAATTCTAAGAGGATAGAATCCAGGTAGAACTCAATGTCCAGGGCAGAGTAAGGATATAATAAAAAGGCTTAAACACAAATATTCCACGGTCATAATTTATTCCACTGGATTCGTAAATGCAATCCAATTCATCAGACCTACAAATTCAAAAAGAAAACAGAAAAAACAACTCCGGGAATAAAAATAGAATTTAGAGAGAGTGTAAGTATGAGAGCTAAAGAGAGGGGTAACAGTCGTTTCTTTCTGAAATTAATTGATAAACATTTTCATATTAAACATCCACTACGTAAAATTTTCAATAGGAAGACACTGAAAATAAGTTACTCATGAGTTAGAAATATGGAGAAAATCACATCTTCCCATAATTGCAGATTACTTAGAAACTATCATAGTAATGAATCTCAATCTAGTAACTCTACCTGCAGTTGTAGGATCAAAACTATTCTCCAATCGGGGGTAAATGTAAGTATGAAAATGTAGTATACGAGGCAACAATCTTTTCCGAGGAAAATATAAACCAGAAAAAAAGATATATAAGGATATCCGCCGGTGATTGGAAGCAGCGTCTATGCAACCATAAACGCTCATTTAGATATAGATATCTCAGAAATCAAACTTCCTTATCAAAACACTACTGGTATCCGGTGGATAAGGGACTAACCCCACTTTTGAAATGGAGATACTTATCAAGAGCTAGAACACCTAATAACTTCCGCGATCGTTGTGATCTGGGCATGGCGGAAAAAAAATTATTATCAAAGATAAGAATCAAGATGTAACTGCTGAATCTTCGTAATGAAATATTTTCTAAATGTAGACATAAAGAAACGATCCAAAACATAAACAGCATTTTGTAAAATGTTGTCACTTATGTCAGTTCCATCTTGGTTCAATACCATCGGGCACGACATTTTAATGGAATGACTATTATGTTTCTCTCTATATATATATCATTGTGTATGTTTATGTGATGCGCTGTGTATTTTGTTTTTTTGAGACCAAATTTTTAAATTTTACTTTTTTAGATTTTACATTCTAATTTATGTGTATATGTACATGTGCGTACCTGTGTGTCTATGTGAGTATATGTGTATATATATATAGGTGTGTATATAGGTATATGTATGTGTATGTATGGATATATATGTATATGTATGCGTATATATGTATATGTATATTTATGTATGCGTATATGGATGTATGTATATGTCGATAGATGTATATGTAGATGTGTTTATATGCGTGTGTATGTTTTGAAATGTTTGTACTCATATATATCTGTATATGGGTGTATATGTATGTATATATGTATGTATGTATTGTTAGACGGATATATATAGGGATACATTGTTTATTTGTTTAGATGGGTGTATGAAATTGTATGGAGATGTACGGTTTTATGTATATATGTTTATGTTTATTTTCATGTATGTGTATGTCCGTATGTATATATGTGTGTAAATGTGTATATATATGTAGGAGTGGATGTGTATGGATGTATGTGTATTCGTATGTATGTGTGTGTATTTATGTATGTATATGTATACATGTATGTGTGTATGTATGTATGTGTATGTGCATGTATGTATATGCACGTGAGAATATGTATATGTGTATATGTTCATGCCACTTTGACAGTAAAATTTACCAGTAAAATAATTTGTTCATTACCATATTTGGTATAAAACGCAAACATTTTAAAAAATTTAAAATCAAACTCAGCGTTGCTTTGGCGCGTTCAAAACCAATATCTCATTTTTCAATAGCATTTCGGATACAATACACATATATTTTCGATGTCCTCTTATTACTAAGAGAAAAAACAAGAACAACATCTATTATATACCTGAAGATGTCTGTAGGAACAGACGAAAAGCTTGTAAAAAAATAACAACTAATACGGCAGAAATTTATATAAACAAGGATCAATTCATTCATAACGGATCTGGAGGTTTTTGTGTACTATTTGAATTGTTTGCGAGATGGATGTCTCGCCATTTAAATCATTAACCTTTGCATTAGTTTTGTGTGAATAATTCATGTATATATATATATATATATATATATATATATATATATATATATATATATATATATGTGTGTGTGTGTGTGTGTGTGTTTGTGTGTAAATATGCATATGTGTATACATATGGATATATGTGTATGTGTGTACATGCGTATATATATGTGTGTATGTGGGTACATGCCTATATGTATGTATGTATGTGTATATGTTATTGCGTATGTGTTTATACGCATGTGTTTTTGAACATAAAAATATAGGTCCTTGCTAGATTAGATAATCGTTACATTTATTTTTTATATGTTTATATTTGATTTGTAACCTGTAGTCGATATTAATTTTGTCAAATTTTCTTAATTACACAGCGGCCCTTTCAGTAAATGCCCTTCAGTTTTAGTTTCCCCTGCCCCATCTCTCGCCCCCACCACTTTTCTTTTCTTTTCTTTTCTTTTCCTCTTCCTCACTCTTCTTCTGATCTTTAAGATTAGATCGTCTATTGTGTGTGTATGTCACCACGAAATGTATCCTTTCCGGTTACATCTTTAATGCATTTGACATCGGACAACATTCATATTTCTCTCACTTAAACCTCTTCAACTCACCTCTCTAAAACTCCTCTCTGTTAAGTTTTAATCTCAAACCTTCTCTCATCTGTTACCCCTCTCTTTAGCTCTAACATTCGTCCCACACTCTCAGACTCACACTCTCTCTAAATTCTATTTTTATTTCTGGAGTTGTTTTTTCTGTTTTCTTTTTGAAATTGTAGGTCTGATCAATTGGATTGTATTTACGATTCCAATAGAACAAATTATGACCATGGAATGACCATGGAATATTAGTGTTTAAGCATGTGTGTGTGTTTGTGCATCTATATGTATCCAAATAAAATGAGAATGAATAGAATACTCGCAAGTATTTTAGAATCGCCTGATGAGATTCGTTGCATGTGCATCCAAACACGACTGCAGTTGTGTAGCGA